CACACTGTAAATGAGAACTAATTATATAACTTTCAACATATTGATAAAAAAATGTCAACTAACAAAGAAGACCAAAATGTCTTTAAAATGCCTATAAATAAGGTCATGGATTGAAATCCAAACTTCCATTCTGAAAAGTCAACTTGTATTGCAACATACAGTGTCAAACCTCTCGAAAATTGAAATATTATCTCCAATTGAGAAGCATTTTCCAGCCTACAAAACGTCGAAATCTCCACTTCTCACTTTCTATAAAAGAGTTGAGACTTCCTAAACACACCCAAATTATCAAAAAGGGAAAAACTCAATAGAAATTTGAACAGAAAATTCAATCGTTGTCTTTAGCCCCCGTTTGATGTCCATTACAAAGAGAAATTGGGGAAAAATATGTTTTGAATAATAATTTTTTTGGAAAATAAGTGGTTAAAATGTATGAATTTTTTTTATTTTTTTGGGGTTTATATGCAAAATATTTTGTCGTATGAGTGTGTGATTGAAAATAAGTACGAAGAATAAAGAGTTTTAGTGCAAATGAGGTCAAACAGAGCTTAAAAAATATTTTCCGATTTTTTAGACAAGCTCAACTGACAATCATGAGTATAAATTGTCAAACCTAATACAAGATGAATCTACCTAGGGGCATGCTATATGTACATAAAATTATCTCATGTGAGGGTGTGGACACCCATATGTACCACCACCTCATGTGAGAGTGTGGACACCCATATGTACACCAAGAATTATTCATCTAGTTAAACACGGGTCATGCCACACCTTAGTAAAATGAAAAGTGTAAGGTGAAATGAGATTCTGATACCTTCTACTTTTGGCGGATATGTTGGTTCTTTTTAGGTAAAAGTGGAGTCCAGTCCTAATTGTCAGTGCCAACCTTCAAGGGGTCAAGATATTTGTACATAAACCTTTCTATCGAATTGTTTACCATTTCTTACACACGTAGGACCCGCGTGAATTAAAGATCCCAAGATGTGGCCCCCACCCCCTATTGTGAGTAGTCGGTAAATGATTAAGTAAAAAAATTCGGTACATGTAACATGATCCACCTTTGAATATTTGCTAGGACCATGCTACTCGTACTGTTGTACAGGGTAAGTGGAATAACCCTATTTGATAGGTATTATTAGGTAATAATAAAAGCAAAAATTGAAAGTTGCTTAATTTTTCAATAGTAAAAATAATTTATATTATAGGATTACAAGATAAAGAGTCCGTTTGACATAACTTTTAAAAAGTCAAAAGAAACTTTTGAGATTTAAAAGTTAATTTTGGATCTGTTTGACTAATTTTATGAAAGTTTTTTTCCTAATTAGAAGAATTTTTATAGAAAATTGATCCAATATGACTTCCTTAATAGAAAATTCTTTTAAAAATTAGTTTCCAAAAAAATTAAAATAATCTCCTCCAAAAACACTTCTACAAAAAACAGAAGTCATGCTAAATAGACCCTAAATCTATTTAGTTTACCTTAACACTCGCAAATATTCGGGTTAACAAAAACCCTTGTACCATTTATGATATGTTGAAATCTAATGTTAAAATGATGTTTATCATATCACATCTTTGAGAATTAAATATTGTTGACTTCAAAAATTGAAAGGATAATTTTTGGACCAACTTTAAAATAGAAAGGCATTTTTATTGACAACAATCTTCAAATACAAGTGTTTAATCACTCTACAAAGAGGAGAAGTGAGAATGATAGTATTTGTACCGAGCTCTGCCTTTGGAGGGGACCATTTATCTCTATTTATAGGTAGAAATGTTTTCTTATTGATAGACTCATGTCTTGTCAATTAAATCAACTACAATGTGGAGCTTATCTAGTTGATGAGGTCGGTTTTCATCAGATCATCATGACGTCGACCCTATTGCAATTCCAAAGAATGATGAGTTGATTATGGATAAGAAGTTATGGCAGGTACTGATGTCATTTCTTTTAGGTGTTGCTTATTGATTGGAGGATTGGGTGGTTGAACAGTATGGTAAGGAATCTGTAATCATTATGTCTCCTAGAATTACGGCGGTCATAGGTTCGAGCTGACCTTGGTAATTCGATCTGGATTTATACACGGGATAGGTACTCATAAAATATACATGTTTTGATTTAGGTCGGAGTTCAGAGCCTAACAGTTCATCCCTAAGGTCTGTGCTCACCTAGGTGATAGAATAACCTTGAATACAATTGGCTCGTTTTCCCATATTTGTCATTATTGCAACAATAAAGTAATTACAAGTGTCATTGTTTAATTGGGCAAGCTGTCCAGCACTTCTTTTTGCTTCCCTTGAAAGTTTGGTGTCAAAACTACGTAGTTTTGACTAATCAAATCTATGCCCTTCGTTTTTCCTCATTTTCTTCATCTAATGACCCGAATCCATCTCTCTGTTATCTCCCTTTTAAATCTTCATTTCTCTCTTCATTTTCACACTTTTGCTCTTNGAATAACCTTGAATACAATTGGCTCGTTTTCCCATATTTGTCATTATTGCAACAATAAAGTAATTACAAGTGTCATTGTTTAATTGGGCAAGCTGTCCAGCACTTCTTTTTGCTTCCCTTGAAAGTTTGGTGTTAAAACTACGTAGTTTTGACTCATCAAATCTATGCCCTTCGTTTTTCCTCATTTTCTTCATCTAATGACCCGAATCCATCTCTCTGTTATCTCCCTTTTAAATCTTCATTTCTCTCTTCATTTTCACACTTTTGCTCTTAAGTTTTTCTCTCTCAAGGAAGTAAAATTTTTCTCGCATTCTCATTTCATTTTTGAGTGAGGTCTCCATCCCCAAGTATTCCCCTTACTCGAAAGCACCTTTCTTTTTCTTGCTTTTTTCACCTTGGTCATTGCATGAGTTCGGACGAGTCTAAGGTACATTCTTAGGGTAACCGGCAAGAAGAGTCAGTACATCCTACTTCTACTCCTTCTACTGTTTTGGACTGTTAGGAGGTCTCAACTCTAGTCCCAATCTCTATAGTCAATCTGGGAGATCTAGGTCGTCCTAGAATCATGGAACAAAACCCCGATGGTGCTGAGGTTCTAGGAAGGAAGTTGAAGTTATATCTTACGATGGTGATGAGGGAAATTGTTCTAAGGAGTGGGAGACCGATTCTTATAGGTCGGTAGTGACGGGAGATTTGCTGGCGTGCTTAAAGGCTAAGTATAGTATTCCTAACTAGGTAGAAATGGTAATCCCCGACCCTTCTGACCGAGCTAGTGATCCCTTAGTGGGATGTGTAGCTTTGAAACTCTGCCATTTTGAATGCCGATCTTACACCCTTTCCCAGGTTCATTCGTAGGTTTTTTTCTTTCTGGGAAATAACTCCCACTCAGATATGC